TAGTTCGCAGGTTATAATCGTGAATAATAACCACTGTTTTTGAATGCTTCTAGGCGTCTCGATTTAATTTAAAGGTCTAAAGAGGTGACTGATGTCGTACAATCAAGGCTCGAGGAGGTCGCGCTATTACAACAGCGAAACAATTCATCGTAACCGTAACAAACTCAGACATACGATGAGCTTATAGCAGGCATTAAGTTTGTACAATGAAATTCTATGTTGAAATACATAATTTGTTGTACATTTGACTACAACGAACGCGCTCCAATAAACGCTAGGTTAGAAACACAGGAGAGGGATTTTATAAGTTAGTCACGCTTATTACTCATTTTCAGTAATTTCTCATGAAAAATAATCTTAAAAATTTCGTTTTTATCGTCAATTTCGTAAAATCAAGTCGATGTAATGCAATGACTGAATATTAGTTGATTGCATTCTTTTCTTGCATGGTTGGCTGAAAATTGTCTCAAAGACTCTAAAAATGTACTGATGAATGAATTTGTTAAATTCGTGATTTGGCAGAAAAATAACGAGCGGCCAGTAAAATAGAAGAGAATGTTTTATTACATTCACTATTTACTAAGCCTATTTTTAAGTGGTTTGGCACGAGTAGATTCTATTACATTACAATTTTTTCACCTTAAAATTAATAAAGAGATTAGTTTAAATTAAATTAATACAATTTATAACAAAAAACTAAGATTTCACAGTTTAGTAAGTAGGGATTACAGGATTTTTGCGGGTAGAGGCAAATTGAGGTTCGTATGTTATTCCGTCACTGAAATTGAGAATACTTTCATATGGAGCCTATCCTCAAACTTGCCTAATGATAATTAAAATAATCAAGGCTTATACAGCTCTAATTATCAATGGGTTTTCTGCGTACAGCTTAAATTATTATAGGCAGGCACAGTTCTTGGATTAAAAGATCCTAGTTTTTCTTATGACATTTTCCCTTTACCTTAAAGATGGGTAATGTCAGTTGCTGTCTGATGCATCGCTGATTTTTTTTCTAATTAACATGCCAAGATTAAATGGCAAGACTTGGCAAAGGCAAAAAACTCAGGCTTGGCATTTAAACCGTTTAGTGAGCCGTCGTAAGTTCGTGTCCAAGGTCGATTGCGTGCATGGATAAGTGCTGCTTCAGACGCTATTACGAAATTCTGCCGCTGACCGCACTGAATTACGAACGTTTTCCAGTACGCATTCTCATGTGTTAGCTGAGCGCGATGTTTTAATTCAGAAGTCACAGTTGACCTTGCTTCTGTACTCGAGGCGTTATGTCTTATTAATCTGTTATTTGTGAGTGAAATTCTTGTTCTTCTCACCTGCGTATACTTATTACGCTACAGCTTGAGGCGTAAACCAATAATTAAAAGTAATGGCCAACCTTGGAAAGAGAACGCTTCATCTGGACATAACAACATGAACATAAGCAACACAATTATTAAACTAATCTCTTTTTTCATTTTTTTACGTGATACTCGAATGATATTCAATTATTACTATGTATGATATTATAGTATTAACACCGAAGTGAGTGCAATGTTTTGAGATGCATGGTTTTGTCTGATATTTAGACCAAAAATTAATTACGAGCTTCGTCACAGTTTAACAACACTAGATATGAATGACCTCGTACTATTACTCTTCAAATAGTAGTTGAACAAATCTTACCCGCGCTCTGATTCATATTAAAATTTTTCCGTAATCACGAGCAGAACTTAGCAATGTTGAATCGTCTCGAACTCGAAGCCTTCGTAACATAATTACGCCATCGTTCTGGCCGCAAGCGAGAGTTTAATTGTTCTGGCCGCAAGCGAGAGTTTAATTGTTCTGGCCGCAAGCGGGAGTTTAATTGTTCTAAGTTTTATGCTTATAGCGATCATTCACGGTATTACATCTCATATAATTTTCAAACCTTAATCGCCTCGAAATTGTTACTGAATTTGTAATTTTATTATCTGTAACAAAAATATTTTTGGTCGAACCTGTAATCCCTACTTACTAAAATGTGAAATATTAGTTTTTTTGTTATAAATTGTATTAATTTAATTTAAGAGAAAAATTCAAAATTTGTTCCATTTTCATGTTTTATAACTGAATATACATTCATTTTATTGCTATTGATTATTGAGCATTTTCGGAACAAAAACACAATATCAAAACAGAAGATTATTGATTTTTGATTAATTAGAATGCACCGCGGCATATCATCAGATAAAAACGTATCCGGTCTATGATTTAGTGATGCGATTTGTGATGATGATTTGCATATAGTGATGCAATGAATTGTAGACTTCAATGGTTACAAAATAACAGCAACGGACTCCTGAAATCTTAATGTTAGTCAATAATTCAAAATAATTTGGAATATTAAAATGACTCAAAATAAGTCAATCTTTACTGTATTAGAATTGTAACTCAAAACAGTAATTTGAACGAAGATTAGTAAAGCTCCACATATCAGCAGATAATCGTACCATCACTTCACACTTAACCATGACTTGACATGGTGTTAAGGTCATGAGTGCAGGTTGATCAATGGATGATCGGGTGGCGAGATCGATATACTGAAGGCCATCCTCTGGTGCCATTGCACAACATAGCAATATTAACAACCGTTTTATGTAGCGACCGAAGCGTTCAACGCGACATTGAAGGCCGCTACTAACGATTCGATCGGTCGCGAACACGCTGTCCTAAAGGCGACCATCGATTGATACTTCCAGTGTCGTGGATCTATTGCCGTTTCTGGTATCGTGGACCGATTGACCCGTCTAGTATCGTGGACCGATTGACTTGTCTAGCATAGTGGACCGATTGATACGTCTAGTATCGTGGATCATTCAACGATTGGAGCATATATAACTGAGTCAAGGCGTCCATTTTTTTACAGTTATCGTGTACCCATTATTTATAGAAATNATCGTGGGTCATTCAACGATTGGAGCATATATAACTGAGTCAAGGCGTCCATTTTCTTACAGTTATCGTGTACCCATTATTTATAGAAATTTCCATTGAAGTTGTTGACTGTTACTTTAATCGGTTGTTGGGTACGCTGGGACTAAAATTATTTTGAAAGCTTTTATTACTCACGAGTCACTATTTATAAATAAGTTATTTAAATAAAAGGTACCTATGGGTGATTTCCACTCTTTTGCTCGAAAGTATTTTTGAGCACTGATTTGTTTTAGAGTTACAATATTTTTTGCCTGTGGTAAAACACAAAGGCAGTTTCTTGACGACTTAATAATTTTCAATGTTTGTTATTCGTCATAAATATTTTGTCATAGTTTGCAAAATGACACAAGGTAGTTGTGTAAAGTAAATAAAGTTGTTCGTCTTGTCTATGAACTGGATTTTTCTGACAGCATGTGTCTGGGTTCAAGGTTGAACGCAACGCAAGGTAGGTGGGTGAACACTGAAAACTTAAGCTTCGCAGTCTGATCACCGTCGGCATGAAGGTTCGGTTCCTCGAAATCCACAAAAGAAAACAGGTTTTCACATCAGTACACTGACCAGACAAACCGTTTTGCTAAGATCAAATTAGCGAAATATAAATTAGCCCTGAGCTCGAGTGTATCCGTGGATCAGTCTGATCTTTGTTGAAGAATTTTCCGGCTTTTTTTTTATTCCGGGAACGGCTGAAGCGTTGGAATTTCCTCTAAAAATTTGCGAAGATAACTGCGTATGAAGCGCTGGCAAGAATTTGTAATAAATAAATAAAACCGAAGTATAGTGAAAATTAGAATTACATATTTTTATTAGTGAAACGAGTTGTAACCTTACGGTGTCCTGTGAAAAAGTTTAATTGATCTCCAACTGAATTTTATGCCTTGATGAATAGCCTAATAGGTCACAAATATTTTAATATATTTAAATAAATTCTACCGGAACATAATGTTAAATTAAATATCTTCGATGAGATATGCTTGCTGCTAAAATTCTGTACGGGGCAGGAAATATTACTCAACAATTATTTTATACGACGAAATGAATACAATAACGGCTTACTCACCCTCATGCACTCTACTTCACAGCAGCGCATGAGGGCGTTTGACGTATTAGGCTCATGATAATGAGCTCGCTTCCGCATGTGCACGCTGCCTGCCTGCGCACATTTCTTCAATATCCTGTATGCAACATCAGGGCCAGTAGCTTCCATTTTGATTTCAGGATGATAATTATCATTATACTTATATCATTATTCTTATATTATTATTATTTTAATATCCAAATCTTTATATCATTATCCTTATATCACTATCCTCATATCATTATAGTGGCCGGCAGTTGATCGACTGTTGGTTGTCGTTAATTGCGTATAAATATATCTTGTAAACGGAGTTTCAACTATATATCGTGGACACTTTTGAACCAAACAATCCTTGTGAAATTTGTGAAATTTCGCGTGATTAAAATTTGATTTCGTTAATCAAAGAATTACGTTGAAAGATGTCGATTACAATCAATTTTTCTTTGCATTTTGGAAGATGATTTTTTTATTTGTATAATATTATCAAGAACTACTATGGCTCAGGAATACCGTCGTTCTTGAGCTAATTTATCGCGTAATTTGGTGGGTGAATAATGAACGTGCGTCAAACGCAAACTAGTTTATCGTAATTAGACATCAGCTGCACTGGAAATTTCTGTGAATGACTCAAGGTATACTACATTTTCGATGATATATAAAGCTGTTGTTTTATATCTTGAGATTTAATGCATCGAAAGTATACGTTTCACACTACGAAGCATGCGATTTTGATTACGAAAGTTTCATCTTTAATATTGTAGATTGATGAATAGTGTATACTTTTGAGGCGGACTGCGCCGAAAGTTAGTTTTGTCATTAGACCAACTGTTTTTATTATAAAAATCCTCGCCGTTGACAGATTTCTTGTTCAACATTATTCATGCCATCAAAATTGTTAATATTAATAACATTAATTGTACCATCGTCTAAAAGTGACCAATTTCTTCTAATTTTCCAGGTGGTATTCCGCACACATTCACATGCTACCTCGAAGAAAGCCTCGAGCGAGGACGACAGCATGGTGCTCAAGAACAGATTTTCAGACGCTAACAAACTACCACCTATAACCAACGGCACCTACAGGAGCCGCTCTCTGAGCAACGTCGCTGAGAACGGTCAAGTAGGATCATCAGATCTGAGCAACGGAGGCAACCTGCCTCCTAAGGATTCCTGGGCCACGACAGGAGTTGATAATCCTTCCTTCATAGCAGAGAATGACGGGGATATGACGATGCAGGTATGTAGTACAGTATATATAGAGAGTTGTTTGCATTCTAAATTTAAATAGTTATTTTGGAAATAGCAGGGAGGGTTCGCAAATAGGTCAATAGTATAGTAGTAATATATAAACAGATTTTGTTAATCAATAATAAAGGTACTTATATTGGAGGTTCATATCTACTCTACCATACGCTGTGCTCAGAGCTTCAGTGCCAATTATTTGCAAAATAAGTTATCAACTACCATGAATAATTATATAATAAATTTTGAAGTCATTGCTCTTCCCACCTGCATCCCTAGATATCGGATGCAAGTTATCATCTTTGTTTCGAAAATTTGATGTCATTTTGATGTCTCAATCTATATTATTTATGTAAAAATAAAATTTACAAGAAACCTTGAAATTATCGAACAACACCACGAGTTGCGTGGCGTCGATTGTATCGTATTCACATGAGCATCATGGTCCAAAATCGTGAGCATTATATGATATCTACTATAGATTTTGTCCTTGAGTCAGAGGACGAAATTTATAGTATCGTATCCGTAACGAATTATTTGCAGGAATTCATCTCACGTTAGTGTTAGTTGTCTTGTTTTTTTTTGGGACCGTGTCTAATTTTAAATTGGCTTATGTCTCTCTAAAATTCGTCACTCCCTGATGAAAACAAGTGGTCCTGAATGTCAGATGAAGGCATCAAAACAACCGACGATCCTTCTTTTAAATTTGTTAGTATCAAGCGAGATTATCCTCGCTTCTCTCCTGCATTTTAAGGAACCGAATTAAAATGAACCTTGGACTTGTCAATAGTCCAAGCCAGTGCGGTTTATGCGAATCTTATTCTAATGAAGATTCCACTGAATATTTTGTATCAATAGTGACTATCGTGGTTTGCTGCATCTCAAAGTTTGTATATGTAATGAAAATATCAATAAATAAAGCATTTGTCTTCAAAAATCCTTCGGTAGTCAAAATAAAATGTAACGTTGAATTGACAGAAAATGAAGAAGGTAAAGGAAATTGAACTTTAAGCATTTTTTTCATGTGCGAACGCTGGGCTTCCTGCCTTTCCTGCACTTATTCTTACGAAACATATTAATTATTGGACTTGCAATCAACTTTATCCCGCGAGTTACGCTGTGGATCACGCACCATTCGGATTTAATTCCCCTCCAAGAATAACATCAGAAACTGAAAAACCCATAATTATGGAACTTGGACTTTATTAGCGCTCGTATTCTTGCATCTGCAGTTGAGAAAAAAATATCACAGAAATAGAACTATGAACTGGCCTTGAACAGAAACTATAAACTGGCCCTGCATGGAATTAAAATTTTGTCACTTCCGCTGGATTTGGAGTTGACTTTGGGCCTCGTCCGAAAACCATCATTGAAATATACGATATATTGCGAACCCGAATTCAAAACTAAAAAAATATAATTCAATACTCACTGCAGTGAGTGACAGAGAGCGCATTTTCTCGCCGACGAAAACTTGAGGCCAGGGACAGACGGACGGACATGGCGAGCACAATAGTGAATTTTTTCCAAAAATGAGAAAATGCGCTAAAACAGAAATGAGTTAGGGAAAACGTGAAACTGGTGTCACCTTAACATTACAAAATGACGGGTTTCGGCCAAGTATCGAAAACAATCAACCGTTTTGTTTTTGATTGTTTACGATGTTATACATACCCAGCTATAATATTCCTGTTGACTTCATAACGTGGCCATGTGTTCTTTCGTCCAGCTACTAAATATTATTGCCTCGCTGAATAAAAATTATGTATTTGTTTTTAGCGCATTTTCTCACTTATGGAAAAAATGGACTATTGTGCTCGCCATGTCCGTCTGTCCGTCCATGTCCGTCTGTCCGACGAGAAAATGCGCTCTCTGTCCTCACTGCAGTGAGTACTGAGTTATATTTTTATTAATTTGTCCGTTTTTGGTCCCGCAGATGTCCCGTCCCTCCGTGACTCCCTCGACGGCGGGTCACGGGCACTCCCACATGGTGGACATGTCATCCCTCAAGGCGAGGGATTGGGTCAACAACTTGCGCTCCCTCATTATTGTGCTCGCTTTGTCCTTCCATGCCGTATTTGAGGCAAGTTTTATGCTTATTTTATTTAATTTAAAATCATTCGTGAACCCTATTGACTTTTAGCGCATTTTCTCATTTATGGAAAAAATACACTATTGTGCTCGCCATGTCCGTTTGTTCATCCGTCTGTCTGTCCGTCCGTCTGTCTGTCCGTCCGTCCGTGACTTCACGTTTTCGTCGACGAGAAAATGCGCTCTCTGTCACTCACTGCAGTAAGTACTGAGTTATATTTTTAGGAGTTCCGTGCTGTATTTGAAGCAAGTTTTCCGCTTATTTTATTAAATTTAAAATAATTCTTCAACCTTCATGACTTTTTTAGAAAAGGCTTCTAAGAAATTTAAATTTTAAATATCAGTCCATTTTGCTCCGTTTTCTTTAACTATATATTCATTTTATAATTCTGATTAGCTATACTCGTATAAGTTGACTCATAAATTTATACAACAGCAATGCGAGAAATTGTAAATAAAAATGTGTTTTTTTTTATTCCAAAATCCCTATAATCTATGGACATAAATATAATATAATAGACTGAATTTCATGATATGATTATCGGATTACTTTGATTTAACATATACTGTAAAATTTCATTCATCCCATATGTGTCTCCGTTACCCAAGAAGACACAAATAACAGATTTTTAACAAATTTTCAACATCTTACAAGATCTTTAAATAATTTTCCTTCAAACATTCCGGTAAAATCCGGGATTAAATTTCTTCGTGTCATCACTATGCTAATCATAACCATTTGCTAACCGTTCACCACTCCACAACACGCACAGATTGTGCGCAAATGAAAGTTACCGGCTCGCGAATTGAACCTAAGACACGTGCTTGTAATCATCAACCGACGCACACGTGTAAATTGACTTCCAAGTGCGAATTAATTCATCATAATTAGAAAATTAATTTTTAATGAATTTCTAAATTTAATTTCTTAATTCTAATGAATTAATAATTTCATTAGAATTAATTCATAATCTAAGCATTAGTATGGCAGATTGGCATAGTTAATATAAGGGCTGATGTCGCAGCGCACTTCGATTGTCACGTGTGTTTTAGTAATGTCGGAGCTCCCATCCTTAAATAAAAACCATATACCGTACGAGTTTAGTTTAAGATGCTGGCGTGTCACAATTCCAAAATTTAATTTGGCATTTTCCTTGTATGTGATCTCACGAATTATACAATTCGTACATTCAAACATATCGCATCAATAGAATGAAATCTTCTGTCTTCTCCATTCATGATTTTGGTAACATACTGATTCGAATTTTTTTAGAAAGCAGTCATACTATGTTAAGGCCTCATTGCGCTACCTTTTAGATTTCTTTGAAAGGTTTACTATTGACATTTGCGGAAAACCTATGTATTTACAAGCGTTTATGTTGCAATTTCACCTGACTCAATCAGGCACGAATTGCATTTGCACGTTATGGTCTCTTGCAACATAGTGAGTGTGGCTGCAATGCATTGCTAGTAAAATTTCGCAGTTTAAAAATTTAACTTTAACTCGAGTAACTCTGCACGCAGCAGGAGTAACGGGAAGATGTTAAGAATTTGAAGGATAATAAATTCTAGAATGAGAATTAAACTGAAATCAGATTAATACAACTTAGAGAATTTATCTGCATTGAGTATGAATATGAAAAGGATGAACAATTTTTCCCAGAAAGAGGGTGCTAGATGATGCAGGAACAATGATGGCATTGTAAAAACTTTTTATATCAGTTTTATATATACGAATGCATTTCTGCCGCACCACGAGCTCCTAAGATAAGATATTACTGATTTAATTATCAGGGATGTCAATAAGAGGAAAAATATGATATGATACTTGAACGCTATTAAATTTATCTTAATTTTAGAAAATAACATCATTAAATATGAGGAACGAAAGGAAGTTATTAGCAGCAGCAGTGCAAGACCCCTTCTTTTTTCGGCCACTATAGGACATTGGTCATATAGAAATGTTATGTTCCATGCTTGAATTAATTGCACTGTTGCATACCAGAATCAATTCAAATACTGTCATATTTAATCATACGCTCAAAATTAATGAAGTTTTTAACTGTTGGTCGTTTTGTTGTATTACGCATAATACATTCTGAACGGCAGCACCAAACAGACGTGACCGTGAGCAATACAAATCATAGAGCTACAATACAGCAGTCCCGACGATGGCGGTGAATGAGATTGTACTTGCCACTTCTTCTATATTGACTTTATCAAACTTATGACTTTTCTATTGCAATTTCAATTGTAAGTCAATTTAGACTATCGGAAAATAGCGAGGTATTAGAGTAACTTTGCCTAATTCAGTTGACATTATTTACTGATGGCAACGACTACAATTATGCGAATGCGTTGTTTTAGTGAAGTACGGCCCTAATTAGGATCGAGTTTTAAATCATATGATATTTTCTCAACATTTCTTTATCTCTATCCTCAGGGTCTGGCTGTGGGCCTACAGCAGAATGTGGCCGACGTATGGTATCTGTTCTACGCCATCGCAGCTCACAAATTCGTTATCGCTTTTTGTGTTGGACTCGAACTAATTTCCGGTGGTACGAAGCTCGTCCTGACAGTCGTCTACATGATCACCTTTGCAATGGTCACACCTTTAGGAATCGCCATTGGCATCGTCGTTACAGAAGGAATAGGTTCACCCAACAGCTTGTCCCATCTATGGACCGTGACCGTCTTGCAAGGGATGGCTGGGGGTACCATCCTATATGTAACTTTCTGCGAGGTGAGTTTTAATTTGTTAACTATCTTACATCTGACTAATGTTGAATATTGAACAAATCACCACTGAATTAACACAAATAATTTGAATAAGATGTGACATTTTTTACGTTAAAGTTTTTCCATTCATTACAGCCGAATCAAATTACAAAAATATGAATCCAAATCAGAAACGGTACAAATAAGTAAAACTTGACGACAAATGACTCTTCTATCATGAGTTTACCTTTCTAAAAGCACAAATACATATTGATTTATAGGTAAATTAATTGATTTTCAATTCAAATTTATTCTCTTCCACAGGTTTTAGAACGCGAAAGAAACCGCAAGAACGGCCGGTTTTCGAAACTAGCCGCGCTGATCGTAGGTTTCGCGACCATGGCTCTCATCCAGCTTGTGGGCGGCCATAAACACACTCATTAGTTACATTAATAATATTATAATCCAAATTGTGTTCAATAATATGATCTACTTATAATTTTGCGATAATTTTTTGTTTAAAATATTAAAAATTAGCATGAAGATTTGGGCACTCGACACGGGGACTTTAATCCACAGGTCGTTTGAGAGATATTTTTTGTGATAAATTGCGCATTGTTAAACAATGATTTTGTTAGTAATAGAAATTTATTCAGATGATGATGATAAGATTCGTTACCGTTTAAGCAACAAGGAAAACAAAATTTCTCACGCGAACAAAACTTTCTTATTGTAGGATGTGGCATCCGCTTTTAAGAAGAAAGGACCGTATATCCCCATGCAAGTTGAGATAACTTGCACAGTTTATTAGTTTGAGTGTTACCAGCAAAATGATAAAGTGCTGTCTTATATTAGTATCACACAAAATATCTTATTTTTATGATCTTCTGAAATATTCGGTCTTCAAAAGCTTTAGGTGCAGTTTTAGGACAATCAGTTCAAATTTTTGCCTGCACTCAACTGTCATCACTCTTTAATGGGAATATAATTCCAAGCGTAAGAGTTGATGTTGTTAAACCTTCTCTAACGCTGTATCATCAACGTAACCTTCTCTTAGCTGTATCATCAACGTAACCTTCTCTTAGCTGTATCATCAACGAGCTTAATTGCATAGTTGTTAATAAAAAATTAGCTTTGGAACTAGATTACAGACTTGTTGCTACTGGATAGTGTTATTGAAGCAACTGAGTTGGTATTGAGAGCTTGATGAATATGTGAGATGAATTGGCTAATATTTTCATTGTTTTCAGTTGAGACTAGAACGTGATTTTTGGGCATGCAATCTGAGTGATTTAAAAAATGACATAAAAATTGAATTAAGTTGAGTTATCATTAAAGTTTAATTTTTTAAAGGAGTAAAAACTTCTTTGAAGAACGCTGAAAACAAGGAGATTGAAATCATTCACCGGTTTTGATTTCGATAGTCTTGTTGGCAGGATAAAAAGGATCCAGACTTATGTTGTAGAATTTAGATGACTCTTATAATTAACACATATAATTAAGAATATATGTTTTTATATTTTATATAGATTTTAAATGTGAGTTTTGACACAGCAATGAATTGTCGGTGGAAATATTCTTTCCTCCAGGGAATTTCAAATTTACAAGTCCCGATTAAACTATGCCTGAAAATTAGGCTTACATATATCATATTTCTCCCTAAAAACTACCTATTTATAAAATCATGTAATGACACGTGATTACTTTTTTTGTTTTCGTTGCTCATTGCGTCATAAAATTATTGTATCGTCACAACCCGTGATAAAAAGAGTTGAATTTTATTATATATTTATATGTACTACTGGCAGCCACAATTTTGTAATGTGCCTGAATGCAACTGGAAGCATAATTATGATGTTGCCATGACGACAAATTTCTTGTTCTATATCTGAAGAGCAACAGACTGCATAATGCTAATGATGACAATATGACTAAGCCGTTGCACTTTATCTAAAATGCAACTGGAAACGTAAGTTTAGGTAAACATGACAGCCAAGTATTTGTACATTATATAAAACGTAATTTAATGCATAATGTTGAACTTGTATATTCCTTCGTTAGAAAAATCGATTGCATCGAAACATATCCTTGTGAAGTTTCAATGCAAGCGATATATTATATATAATTTAGCCTAAAGCAATGAATGGTTCCAACTCTGCTATGAATTTCATAATATTTTCATGACTCATATTGTGAATCAACATCTACAATTTTTAAGGTTAAAAAAATTAAAATTCTATTACAAGTTTATGAAAGTTACGATGAGTTTAAACGTAAAATAATTCATTTTTTTCAGGCTCCCATCATCCGATGGAAGCGTATTCAAAACAAAAAGACTTTTATTATTCATTCAAACTCTCCTGAATCTCATTTAGTACTTCATGACAGATTTAGAACCTTAAAACCTAATAGGTTTGAGAACGACTTTAGAAAATTAATGAACGATCTTGACGATCTTCCGTATTTTTTATCCATTTAATGGATCACTGTACATAATCTTTTCTTGAGGAAATATTAATTATAATGAATAAAGTGCTTATCCAAGCCGTCCGTCCATACTTTTGATATCACATTCCATTAATTCTAAGATGTTGATGTAAATATTTTCTTACTTCTTTAAAAAAATATTACCGTGAAATATATCCTACAATTTATATCCTATATACTGTAAAATGATTCAAATGTACTGCAGCGGTGATACATATTATCTTTCGCTAAATTTGTAATCATTAGACAGAGTAATCATAATATTTTACAATGTGCTTTGTAAGACAGTACTATTTTATAATATGCTTAGTAAAATAGTACTTTTTTACAATGTGCTTTGTAAAAGTGTACAATGGCGGATGATGTGTGCAACATGGAGAGCACAATAATTTTTATTGAAATTAAGACCTGAATTACGTAGTAATTCAGGTCTTAATTACAAATTAATTCAGTACAAATTCAGGTCTAGATAACACAAAAATTTACAAATTAAATAAAAAAAACTAAGTGGTTATAAATATTTATCTCATTCAATTATATACATTTTATTTTCTTAGTAATGTAAGTTAATTCAAGAGTAAAAGTATATTTGCAATCAGTCCGCAAGTCAATAATAAAATAGTTTCACTTTGTGATCATTATGACTATTCGTGGGATAGAAACCAGAAAATATAATTCCAGGGCAGAATTTGAATTCTTCAAATAACATCAAAAACATCACCAGAAATAATCTTTGCTTAACAGAAATGATTGGTCCATAATTTCTCAAGTAAATTGAATTATTGAAAAGAAATCGTTCTTGGCAAATGTCATTCGTAAGATTTTATTTTTGTAGCTAGAAAAAGATAATCTGTATGTAACCCTAGCAATACAATAGTATTGGCGATATTCAAAAATTAATAAGTAGTTAGTATAATAATTCATATCGCTGGCGCGTTGACAAGTTTCTACAGTAATTCATCACGCTGGTGCCTTGACTTGGTTGTACAGTAATTTGTACTTAGTTATTCACCAGGAGTTCACCGGATGAGTGTAGGAGATAACGAGGGATGCGGGATCTCCTGATCCATGCAGGCAAAACATCTCCCAAACCTAGTGGATTTCAGAGTATTTTACTAGGGAAATTTTGTATCGCATTATTCATCATCAAATAATTATACACGAATTTTTTTCTGTGTACTGGTGCATCATTTCTAGTTCAATTGAGTGTTATATTATTTAAAGCCAAAGTTATCATTTTTTGCCTTATTAACACTCATCAAAGTCTTAGTCACGTCGTTATTAAAATATAAAAAAAACTCTATATGTACCAATAACTTTATCAAAATATGCAGGAATATAACTATGCAAGAATTATTAGACTAAACTATGTGCCTGGGCAGAAATGGTTTAAAAATGTTTGAATAGCATTGCACCGAATTCCTAAGACCGCGGCGGAAACGACATTAAGTCTGTAGGGCATCTCATTCGTCACCTTACGTGGCAATGCACGTGTCTGGGCATAAATTTCATGTTTTTTTTAACAGAATAATAGAAGTTAATCGGTTGTTCAAATGCTAGTCACTCGTACCCAAAGGAGAGCTCTAAACATTTTGTGTTGTTTCGATGCGAGATGTGTGATTCTATGATATTTTTACAGACAACCATATGATTGGAAACCTGAACAGGAAAATTATAAATATCCGATTTTTAAAGAATTTTTGGCGCGAAAAATTCTTAAGAAAGACTGAGCAAAAATTTCAGTTCATATTATTTGGATTAATTGATGTGAATACAAAAGTTAAGTGAGTTAAAGTTAAACTCAAGAGATCGTAGAAAATAAACAGATTAAAAATTAGCAGATTTTCGTAAATTAATTTTATGGAATGGTGGAGAAAATTAGCGCACAGGTTTTATAGAATTAATTTCAATTTTATAGAATGAAATTAATCATAGACTTGGATCAACTTGAATTTAATTAAATGTTTATAGCAGCAAGACATTTTAACCAAACCTTCGTGGCATGGATGCAGCGCAATAGGCGGCGCTCGAATAAAGTCTCAATAAAACATCAACTGAACGCAATTTTGCACAATGTGCCTCGGGTACATTTTTCAAAAATTATTGATACTAGAAAATTATGTCTACTGATGAAATTACACGTAAATACATCACTACTCTCATTGCATTATTTCTATAAATATACAGTCAAACATGATTTTAGATCTTCTGTGAACAAGGCACGAAAAGGAAAAGAATCGGCAACAGGCCACATCAGGCTTACACTTCAGCGCCGAGATCAATATGTTTTGTTATGTTATATTAAACATGAAGTGCACGTTGAAGGTTCAAACCAGACATGCTAAGCTATCGCGAAGGATTTCATGAACCGGTCTAGGGTCGCATAGGATTTCATGAACCGGTCTTGGGACGCCTGAAGGTCAGAACCACAAGGACTCTAAAAGCGATGTTCTATCCAGACCGCAGCTCTTCGCAGATAACACTAAGTATTTTGCTATCTATTACTATGAGGTTGATACACGATTTAATTACGTACATTTTGAGGACCGTACCCAGCGATGTGATATGGAACTACTTCACTTCGATTAACACTTCCATTTAATATACAAACATATAACTATTCGATAATCGGTGAACCATAATAATAATCAGTGATAATATACTAATAAATAGGATACAAAATCAGTAGCATGGAAGTGAGCTCCATCATATCTAGCATCTTCATGCACGATGTAGTTTAAGGGAGAGTTAACATGGAAGGGAGAAATTAAGGGAGAGTTAACTCTTAAGGGAGAGTTAACGATGTAGTTAACATTCCCTTCCATGTCATGGAAGGGAATGTTACAAATTTAAAACTTCCGATCCAATCGCTTGCCTATTTTTTACACCCAGCGCTATACTTGCTTCCTGGAATCCAGCAGTGCGAAGTGAGCGGACGCTCCGAGCGTCACGAGCACCATGCAGATTTTTCTCCCTGGCGTCGTTCCAGGATGTGAGCGATGACGGCGCGCGCCTTCCTCCGGCGGTGATTCATAGGAAGGGATTGTCTGCATGGAAGGGATTGTCTGCATGGAACAGACAAGGACGAGCCTGCGGTGAATAAAACATCACTCAGAGGCAGAGCTGGGCAGCGCTACTTTGAAATGTAGCGGCCGCTCCCGCTACCGCTACATGCTCTAAAGTCTAAATGTAGCGGGCGCTACCGCTACCGCTACACCCACTAGATTGTAGCGCCGCTACCGCTACATGTAGCGCGCTACTGCCCACCTCTGCTCAGAGGAATGAACGAGGCTTTGTCTAAATATTGAGCATTTTTTGCCTCGTGTGGGTCATCCCAAACAAGTTTACTCCTGGCAAAAGGGCGTATCAGTGCTACTTGCAGAAAGTGGATCACCATTTGGACAACAAGACACAAATCTTTTTCTTAGTGTGCACTTTTACAGCTAGCAGGGAAACTAAAATAGACATAAGAGGAGGAATTTAACTTGTGGGTATGTAACACCATATATACCTTTGTCGTAACCTTGAATTTTTTGCAACGTTCTGTGCGAAAATTTCTGTAGATAGGTTCAACTGACACTTATGAATTTCCGATACTGTATTGTGCCATTCATTGATAACGGATTGAAAACATACATGCTTGCGAGATTATTTATGAGTCGTATCTCATATTTCACAGCAAAAAAAATTTTTTTTTTGAGATGGATTTGTGTTGTCTCGGTAATATTTTCCTGTTCGACATGGACTATATGGAGTTGCAGACGGTGAGGTCATGCCACTGATGCCAGCCATGCATGGTCGCTGCAGGACCTTGCCTTGTCCTTCGAGCTCAAGGACAACAACTTAATTGTGGAATAGAAATGAAATTACTTAATCCCAAAGTCTGTTTATATTACAATAATGGAGTAACGACTTATTGGAGCAGTCCTTCACAGGCGTTCATAAGAAACGACTACACAAAAATGGTTCTTCTAATTTCCCGATTTCTTTTATATGGAATTATTAGTTTATTTCATTCATAGCCAGTTTTTATTAAATAAACTTCAGATTAGGGCATTAATTTTAGACGATCTAGCCTCCTATAAAATATCTTGGCAAAAGTAGAGTTGAAAACTAAGTTGAAGAAGTGTCTTACTGATGGTTTTTCTGCGAGAAGAATTTTATAGGTGAAGTGATATATTCTTGTTAATTGTTTTCTACGAGAAGATTCTTCTTCAATTTATTCGAGGAGAATCTTCTTTTTCACATTTTCCGAGTGGAAGAATTTTGGTGACAACGCAGCTGCCAAAGGTACCAGAGTTTGATTAGAATAATAAATATAATTCAATAAAACAAATGACTATGGGGATAAAATAAAACGGAACAATAATATAATTTCAATTTTAAATACGGTCAATCAGTCATAATACTTTGTCACTTAGGTTAGCGGAAATCATCGAATTATTATTTTTATTTTTATATTAAGGATCTGCCTTAGGATACCGAAGCGTTTCAATTAAAATGAAATGAAAAGTTCACTCCCTGCAGAACATGACAAAAGCAGATACGAGCAAAAGCATAGCTACAGATACGAGTAACTGAAAGCAACAGACTCTTAAATGTAATTAAAATGTCAATTCCAGCCAATATAATATTGTAACGGTTAATCACAACCCATTTTTTAGCGCATTTTCTCATTTATGAAAAAATGCACTATTGTGCTCGCCATGTCCGTCTGTCCGTCCGTCTGCCTGTCTGTCCGTCTGTGACTTCACGTTTTCATCGACGAGAAAATGCGCTCTCTGTCCTCTCTGTCACTCACTGCAGTGAGTACTGAGTTATATTTTTTACAACATATGCCAAATCAAGACAATTATTATATATGTATGTTGATCACAATCCGAGACGGCGGTATATCAGAGCAAATAATTCCTAATAAAGTCCATGACAGTACGGGATTAATTATGAAAGCTGTTCAAATTCTAATTGCAGGTTAGGGGCTTGTACACAAAGCCAAAAATGGCCAGTATAGTCTATACACAAGGCCAGTATCACGTAAATAGTTACTGATGGAATTTGACTGAATGAACATATGATTATAATTCTTGATTATAAAAGAGTAAATATGGTTTGATTGTGCAATTCTGAACGCAGTGTCGCATTGGTACCGAGTGTGTTCTCAGTGTCGCATTAGTACCGAGTCCACAAGAACGTTATTTAAATTTCTCACGAGATCATGCACTAGAATGACATCCTTGCTACAATGTAGTTAAACCTGTTAACCCGTTCCGTCAAAAAAAAAATATTTTAACTATCTCAGTCTGATAGAAACAGATCAGAAGCTATGCATGATGGAGTATGCTACCTGACAGAAAAATATCGATTGGGCCTTCTAATTATGATAAATTAATAGACTGCAAAGAAGGTCTGAATAAAATGGTTATGTATGCTTCAAATTGATATGGATATTACAGCTTAAATAAAATGTTCAGTTCTCTCGGGCCGCTTAGCAGTTTGCCGGCGGCTACCAAACCTGTCAAATAAATCTACGGGGTTTAGCCACCCTCGATGTTTTAGAGAGCTAATATAATAGATTGTAATGTAATATAGGTAATAGAGCTAATATAAGTACTTACTATATGATTTGACCGAGTTATTCAGCGAGTTCATACGTGTTAAATTATCATAATTCAACTTTTTTTATGCATTGCGTTGATGCATAATATTCAATCAACTTTATTGTTATTATCTCCTTATATTGACTTTCATCATTGGTCAGTGTTGCTTAAGAAACTGGTATGTAAAATTTATTAGTTAGCTGGACCATAATAGCGCGTAAACTATTCATCCGTACCATGTGCATATTTTTTTTCCAAAACAAAACATCAAATCCTTGGCCGATGTTATTAGGGTTTATTTTCATTAAACAACCATTCATGAATTTGGATCATTTCATTGCATATATCGAAAATTCGGCAGAAGTTGAAAATCAGAGACAAAGCCACGATAGCTCGAAATATTTTCATTGAAAACTTTTTGTACTCCACCTCTATTAGCAAATTAAGTGTCGCTCGTATGAGGCTTTTGTTAATAAATAAATCGGGATTTCAAGATCGTAACGTCGGACGAACCGGAAGTGGAAGTCAAATTTCGCAATATTTTAAAATTTTTTTGCTTTTCAATTTTTATTCTTTTTAGCGCATTTTCTCATTTATGGAAAAATGCACTATTGTGCTCGCCATGTCCGTCTGTCCGTCCGTGACTTCAAGTTTTCGTCGACGAGAAAATGCGCTCTCTAGCTGTCACTCACTGCAGTGAGTATTGAGTTATTTTTTTAATTTCCTAATTTCGAACAAATGCTTTGACATGAGCCTTCTCCGTAAAATTCAAAATAATTTCGAGTATGGTGTTTGAGGAATTTTGAAGCTTCTTAAGAAAGTTATCGATTTTCTCTTTAATTAAAAAATAAGTATTTTCAAAGACAAGACTTGTAACGTCAATAATTTTGACGAGTCAGAGAAAATATCCTCAAGGCTATCGTTGTAACAGTTGCCTTCTACCTGTGTCATGCCTCGACTAACATCAATCGTAATCGTGAGAATCATATAAAGCCGAAACAGGCTTTGCATGTGTAGCTCTGTGTTGATTATCGATGGATTCCGGACTGCTGATTGTTGTAAAATTTTTAAGCTACATATGGGAAAATCTTACTTGCGCTGATATATTCTCGTAAATCTAGACGTAATCATTAAAAAAATCTAGACCATGAGCTTGAAATAACTTTGTTCTGGGCTCCCAGAAGAGTAAACTTATTGTTGTTGATATAGTTGATGACCCATTGTGGTCATCATCATGACCACAATGATAAATATCAGGGTGCAAGCTGAGGTTAGTCAGATCCTTTTATTGGGTCTGCCTATTATAGTTTCCCTGACTTTTAATAAATAGGTTGCTCTCGTCAATCTATTTTTCGCTGGTCAAAGTGTATCAATATACATATGAAATTATTACACAAAATACATTAATATACATAGTTTGTATTTTAAACAGTAAAGGGTTGTTACTTGCATTATAAAATTTTGAGGTGATGATGAATCTAGTCTCCAAACCGAATTCATTAAAAATAAGTTTAATTCTTTAGCCATTTTCTTTGCACCAGAATTCAAGGTTCATTAACAAAATCAATGCCTCATTATTTGTTATCGGGTTCATCAAAAACTTTAAAATCGCCATTAAGAGAAATTATCTACCCAGAAGGAAAATTCATCGTTTAATCTTTTGAATTCAGAGCACGACATTTTTGCGCTGATGAAATGTTCGTACGTGGCCTGGCTGCTTTATAGTGTGCTGGCCATATTGTTTTCTGTTTGGGCTCCTCGGAAGGCTTGTGTGTCGTCATGGATTTATTCAGCAAGTATTTGAAGCAAATCCCAGATGAAATTCAACTAGTGTCGCTACAGTAGCGTCGTGTGTGAGGTGCCACGGAATGTCTCCCTTGGCTATTTGACAGTGCCATAAGCGCACTGGCTTCGCTGCAGCCACTTTGTTAAGAGATTTCGTTCAGCAAGATTTAATTAATTTTCAATCCTAGGGAATAAGATTGAAATTACTGAAAAAGGATTTTAAATTATTCCTGTATCTTGTAATAATTAACTCTAAAAATTAGAAATTAATTAACCAATATTCGATTGATTGCTAGAAAAATACGCAAATTGTATTTTTTTGTAATGTATTGTAATTGTATTATTTGTAATGTATTGTAATTGTATTAGGAAAAAGGCTAAAGTACAAGTTAAAATATTAGAATAAGGTAAAATATTTGACTAGTTAAAAAAAAAGATATATGGTGCAAATGCTTTTTAAATTTTTTCTTATGTTTGTATTGCATTGTACCTACTTTACAATGTCAAAATGCAACAAACATATTTTCGATATCACGACTAATTTGCTAAAAAATATTATTTTTGAATAAAAAATGGAATATATTGTGTTACTTATTTTGATCGTTTGTTTATTAAGCATCTGTTGAATAAATGATAACAAGAAATCTGTTGGTATCCTTCCAGAAAGGATACCAGAAATCATGTATTTGTCTACAGGATTTACTTCCTTTCTCCAACGGAGGAATTATTAACTTATGGGATGAAAATTATCGCAAAATCTGAGAGCAATTATTTAAAATCAAATTTTCGGCAGATATCTAACCAAGTTTTTTACAGGAAGTTTTACAGAGTAAAATTAAAGAGGCGAAGTTTGTATTGTTGAAAATAAAATTTAATGTTGATCAAAACGCACCTGATTTAATAATTTATTTTAAGGAACAATTATAATCCCTCAGTAAGTCGTACACAATCTATTCCGTCGTGCAATAGAACAAAATTTAATACAAATCCGCGAATTTTAATTGCTGTTCCAAGATGGATCTTCTCACGGTAAAAATATTATCAATGCTTCTATTGGGTTTACTTTCGATATTTTTCGGTCTCATACCATTAAAAATCTGGAAGAAAATGTTACTAACTGACCACGCCAAGTCTGCCGAGACTCAAAAGAAGCAGAGGCGGAGACGGGACCTGGCGGTAAGTTGTCTCTTGTGCTTCGGCGCCGGGGTTTTGCTGGCCACGGTTTTCCTCCACATGCTGCCAGAGACCCGGGAAAGTGTTGAGTTAATTAATGCCATGAAGAAAAAGGTTAAACATGGCCATGAGGGCCTAGAAGTTCACAGAGGCCATGAACATGAGGCCCATGATGGAGATCATATCCATGATCACAACTTTTTGCATGCACATGAGGTGAATGCTCACGAAGAACATGTCCGCGAAAATGGCTTTATACATGGGCATGTGAAGAATGCAAATAATTCTGAGGTCTCTCACGAACATGAAGCACGCGAGTACGGAGACCATGATCATAGACATGATCAAGAACATAATTACACTTATAACGTCACGGAACAAACCTCAAGACTGAAAATTCTGGACGACAGTCATGTGAACGAGAAGGTCGGCATGTCACCTCAAACGTTAGATACACATAGTGAAAATACTAACGATTTCAACCACTATCATGTCAGACGGGATAATGACCATGAGGATAGTGAAATTCCATCCATTCCTGTCTCAAGTAAGCTCAATGTCCTGATAAAGGGAACGACTTCATTGAGTAAACTGAATGAAGAAACTGCTCACACTCATGACCATGTGGATCACATTCACGATTACACTGACACTTATGGTCCCGACGCCCGAACTTATGCCAATCTCGGAGATGACCAAAATGCTCCCTTCACAAATGACTCCCCTCACTCCCTCGGCCACGTGGATCATCATGAACAAGATATGGTGCCTAATGTCAACCATCAAAACTCCAAATCCTTGAATGAATTAACCACGCAATCATGGAATACCCTGCACAATTTTCATGACCACGAAGAACACGAGCATGAACATGATGCTCATTCTTACCCTGTGGCAGAGCTGCTCATTTGCATCGGCTTCTTCACTGTGTACATCATCGAGGAAGTAATTCATAAGGTGAGTCTTGCTAATAAAGTTTCAATACAATGAGTCGTTCATGATTGTTCAGCGAACTATTATAATGGATTCACTTTCATTCTACAGAAATTGGTGCAACATGTGTTCTCTAGATTAGGTGAGCCATAACTTTTGCAGGTTCATCCAATGGCTGTTTTGTATTTCGTTTGTAAAAAAAAAGTCTCTTTTGTAGTGTGTATAATTTGGTGGCTTAGAAATTTCCTTTTAAAGGGCCACGTAGCTAGAGTCCGAATACTAAGCGTGTGATACATTAAACTATAACAGAGGGCAGTACATCATATGCTGCACATTACTGTGCTGTTTATGCTTTTTTTAAACAATCTCTGATAATTTTGGTTGTTGTGGTTTCCCTGGTCTCATTTTTATATGAGACCCCCCTCGCGCAAGTACGACACCACTGACAGGGGGTCGCTCAGAGCTGTAGGGCCGAGGTTTTTGGTCGAGGTGCTTCATGCAACTGAACTAATTTAGAAAAAGAAAGTTTGAAAAGCGTCTCAGGCAAATTGTAAATCTACAAAGAAATCCTAACTTTTCTAATGCATATTAATAATTACAGCATTATACTCCAAATTTATTTAACTCCTCCGCTTCTAAGCTACTTATGAGTGTTGAAGATTGTTTTAAATGCGATTATAAATTAATTTACTGCTGGTGTAAAACAATTATTTGAGTAATTGTGTATATAATCGCTTTATTTGGGAGTAATATGTAACTAATTTTCTTCAACTCATTTACTGCGATGTTATCTTGCCTAAAGAGCAATCAATCATTGTTCAGCATTGGAACAAGAACGGGATCAAGGTTAGACTCCTTTATTTTGGATGCTGGACAAAACTCGTACGCGATAAGTTAGTTCTTGTGGCGTGTCGCAGCTTGGCAATGCCAAATATAATAATAATGTTTGAAGGAAGTTCCTTATATATTCGATCTCCGTTCTCGCCTATTCTTATTTAGCAGCTGTAATCTCAAGTGTGTACTCTTACATAAGGCGTGTTCTAAGAAGGCTGCTCCGCTTATCAGCATTCATTTAGACGATTAATAATTAATCCAGAATAAAACCTATGCATTTATATACGATAAAATCTTCATTAAAATATGCATTTTACTCTTCTCCATCCAATATTTTTTCTAGTTTACAGCACTGAAACGATTCATCCCTATTATAAATCAGCGTTATTATGACGTCACTCAACCGTTAGCTTCAAAATTTCCATTCCAAATTATAATGAGAGTTGAGGGACTTATTTTCAACAATAATTGTTTGGTCCCCATAATATATTGTGCGCCCGTTACTGGTCATGCAGAATCGGCAAGGAGGCCGGGCGGTATTAAGCAAAGAAAATTTGAAGCAGAAAGTTGCGAGTTCAATCCCGCAACATGCTGTGGATGTTCTGCAATGTTAAGAATCGGCGACAGGCCTATGGCCTATTAAAAGCTGAAACCGCTATATTAATTTGTTCCAGTGAAATTATGCAAGATTCTGTTCATATGTACAGCTCACTATTCACTTTTGCAGGGGATGCTAATATGCAAACATAAAGCATGGTTCTTGCAAAGTGTCAATGAATTTTTCAGATGATGGAATGCATGCGGTACCGTCGTGCTTAATGGTCCTCCAATGTCATGCTTATTTTTCCATGAATTATGAACGATATTAGATTTTAAGCTCAAATTATATTGTTAATAACTATGTAAGTATATCCATTAATTTTTTAATTTTGTTTTTCTGCCAGGCAAAAGGCTCTTAGAATTCAGGCTTTATGAATTTCAGCTCTGAGTTTTACTGCATAGATAGGGAATTTAGGGAATTTCTCCCTAAATGCGGGTTTTTTCATAGTACATATAAACAAGTAAGTTTGAGATCACCTGCTACTCTTTTCTATGGCAAAGGATGAGTGAAATAATTAGTTAATGCGAGTGAAATTTTAAACAGTATTTAGTAATAACTTAACAAAACATCCTAATCTATCCAAAAAGTTAAATCCCTGTAGACAAACGAGGTATTAGGCATTACCAATGCAGCTAACTGCCCCATGGATGCATTGAGACTATAATGTCTGAATCTATAATGAATTTTGTGAGCCCTTAAATCAGAGTTTCAAACTTAATAATGAACGAGACAATGAGTTGACTGTCAAATTTTGTTCTATTTAGTATAGCACTATAATAATATACATTATATATACAGGCATGAACCTTTTTAGAATACTAAGTGAATGCGGTATCCGGTATAAACCCACTATTTTATGTATCGCATTGCGTATCGCAACATACCGCATTACCAATGAGAAAATTAATCTGGAACTAGCCTGTTTGAATAGAGTGAACGTTGCATTATAATTAAATAGCAGTATTGCCTACATTCCTGCAACGCTCTCATTCTTAAAATAGTGTCATAGTGTATATGTATATAATAGAGTGTATAGTGTATATTATAGTGTATATAATAGAGTGTTTCAGGATGTTAGCTCATTCAGCAAGCACTACTTTAAGAATTTTTAACTGGAATGATTCTATTTCCTGACAAGGTTCGGATACTAAATTACGGTTAACCGTGTGTAATTACATCGCTGAGGAGGTATTTACTTGACTTCTATTTGCAGTTACGCCTATGTTTTGCAGGCTGAGATGCGAATGGTTTAAGTCAAGGAAAATTAAGTTATTTTAGGCATGTGAATTGTTGGTCATATTATGAGTATTTTATTTCAATTTTATATACTTAAAAAAATTTTCAATTAGAACACCTGTTGTGTGAATTGCATAACAGAATTTCATAAATTACGAACCAAAAAACATCAAATCATCATGAATAAAATTGGAGATATATCACAGTGAAAGAACTTTAAAATTGGTTAGTAAAACTACTACAAACACGGAAACCAGAGTTATATATCGTAAGAAACATTCCTTTACCTCTTTGCATAATACACATATTGAATAAATCTTTCGCGAGAAAAACTGAACTTATATTGAAATAATGATCAATTTACTTAAATTTATTGCGAGGCGAGAAATTATAAGGAGAACCCAACTTATGAATTATATAAACTCCTATGTACACATAAATAAACACTTTACTTTTTCAGGAAGAGCCACACCTCATGAATAAGCGCATATGACGCGCTCTTCATAATATTTTTGATTGAATGTTATATCGGTGACGATTTAACCCTTACAGCCTTCATTTTTTCATTTTAAATTGTCTTGAATTCAAATGATATCGTTTTTGGAGACTATACAGCATACATACGCGAAATTACAGCTAAATTAACAAACTCTCTCTATATCGAAATAATTTTTAATTCACTTTATTATCTATTTTAAGGTTGAATTTCAAGCCGATCAAATGAAGGCTACATTTTCAATAATAAACAATGTTCAATATTAGCACCATAATTTACGGAATATTATTTGTTCCCTTATTTGTACCTATGATCTCATGAATGTAGAGTTACGGCACGCGCCACATTATGGAATTTAAATGCTGCTCCAATGAGATATTTCGTTAATCAATACATTTATTCACTTCACAGTGTCCTTTGTTTTATTCTGCCATTATTAAGGTAATTTATACTTGAACCCGCATTGTATTTTAAGACTGCGCAGTATGAAATCTTTACGATTGCATTTCTCATTGCAGATCGTGTTTCGCAATCACTCACACGCAGCCTCGAAGAGAGACTCAGGCAGTGACGAGGGCATGGTGCTGAAAAAGCGTTGCTCCAGAACCGATAAATTTCCTTCTTTCTCGAACGGGACGCACAAAAACCGATCTGCTGACAATGCCGTTGAAAACGGTCAGCTGACATCAGCTGATCTGAGCAACGGAGGAGACCTTCACCTAAAGGACTCCTGCAACATCCCTCTTAAGGATTACACATCAGGATTAAATAATCCTTCCTTGGTCACAGAAAACGACGCGGATGTAACGATGCAGGTTAGTAGGGCACGGATAATTTTTCATGAATTTATCTTGCAATGCGCCTAGGTGTTGAGTTTTCGTTGTTTTATTTTTTTTAATATGCAGAATCTGTATAAAAATTTTCGAATAATACCGGCATAAAGTGAAAGGGAACCAATGACGTCTGACTAATAAACTATTGCGTAGCTGTTCTGCGGTATTAATTGTAACATAACAATTCAACATCGTTATCTTCAAAGTCAAAATTAGGACCTGCATGATACCTTTATAGCTAAAATATGGCGTAAAAATGGTACTGCCAAACAAGTAAGGGAAATTTATTGAAATTTCGAATCGTTATCATTCAAAGTTTAATCTTTAATATGATGCCAATGACAGAAATATTGTTCCAAATGCCAAGCATTTTCAAAATTGGAGATCTTGCCTCCATTAGTGATACACTATGCACGAAAATAGCGCAAATTCCTTCAATAACGTACTAGCCAATGTCGTTCACATACGTACGAGAATTGCAACTGAAAATAAACTAATTTCTTGACTAATTCAAAAGTTTTATGATTTTTCATATAGGAAATTAAAGATTTATTGTATGAGCATGTGATACGCATTTATCATTCTCTGTATACAACACTGATTTCTGAATAAAGATTGGATGCCGTGAGTCAAGTGATGAAATGACTGCCTATATCCATTTATTCCTGGGCCAATAATTGCAACAATTCAGTTCACGTATGCAGTCTATTACGAATCCTGAGGTCACATAAAAATTGCTTTTTTTGAAGTCTGTTTGTAACTTGCAACTCACATTAACGAACAATAGGAACCAATGTACCTGCATTATTGTTTATGGTGTCGTCATGACAACAAGCTTGCCTGAATGTAATTAAGGTCAAGAGGCGCAATCATCTAAGCCTCACACGCCGTATCCGATTTGTTCCGCCATTGGGCCCTCATCGGGAGTACTTGCGAGTCCTGATCTCGCGATTCTTCATAAACGAATTTTTTTTCTTGTTAGGCGGATTTTCGTCAACATTTCTTAAACGGAGAAAAATGTCGAGGGAAAACTTTCGTTGTAAATATTTGCCCGTGCGTTTTGCCATAGAGGTTATTTAATTTTCCAAAAAAAAAAAAACATTTCATTTCTGGTTATTTCCATGTATAGAAGATTAAATGATTACCACACAGAGGCCATACGCTGAATACAATATTCTTTACCGTGATATTTCGGAGAATTTTCTTTATCGTAGTCGTCCGGAAAGTGATCACCTTATTATTCAATATAATTTTTAAGTATAGTGTCTCGATATGTTGACACAATTTATTGCTGATAAAAAAAAAGTAAAAAGTTTTTAATGTGAATGCTTGAGTTTTATATTCCAAATGCCACATATACCATTAAAAATAATCCAAATAGAGTGAATTAATTTTTGTAGGAGTTACCTCTAAATTCATCGTCCTGAAGTGCACCCGAAGTGCATATACAATAAAATCTTGAAGAGTACCTATTCACGTGAATACCCTATTCACGTGAATAGCAAGTTTGGCGCTCAAGTGATATTGCTAGTCTGCTAGCGCAATTTGTATGGTAGGAATCGATTGACTTCTCGTGCAACTTGTAGCGTAGGTATCACCTGACTTCTCGTACTATTTGTTGCGTAGGTATCAGCGTCTGCTCGTGTAATTTATAGGGTGGTCATCTAATGTTTAGAATCCCAACTATGCTCCAACTTCACCGCAAACGATTATTCTCAATATTATAAATGGATTGACATCGTCTTTCAAAAGCGGTTCAAATCTTCGCATCATGCCATCCCCATTTTATGACCTCATCACAGCGCGAGTACTGATATGAAATTCACTCATAAATCTCCGTCACATGCGGATGAATCAATGAGGTAGTGGGCGCAAAAGATCAAAAAACAATCCGAAAATTTGAATTATGTGCTTTAAGTTGCGGTGGAGTCACACCAAAGGGTACGCACTCAGTGAAAGCAGGTTTGCCCGCGCGGGCAACCTGCTCCAACCTGCCACACGAATGAACATAGGATAATAATGTAAGTGTTCACAGTAAAAACCTGTACGAATAGGCTTCTGTATTCTATGGTTTCAGGCGCCAGCCTGAGCAGGTAACCAGCACGCTGGCAACCTGCTTTCACTGTGTGCCAACTAAGCCCATGCAAGCATAAACGTGATCAGATATGGCGCGTGATCGTCCTTCAACCCGATCATTTTGCGTGTTTCATGAGAAAGTCAAATTCCTCTGTAATTAACATTTAGTGCTCCAAGTTTCAAGCTTTAACCTCTCCTGAAAATATAAAAAATCAATAAAAAGCTAAAGATAATCAGCGGGTTGCTAACAAGGATAAAATATTTACAACGCAATATCATTAACAGTATTCTAATATAGATCTATTCTCAGTAATATTTACACATGATAGTCACACCTAAACTCTTCCATTAGTACAAGGCACGTACCTCCGTCACGTCTCCGCACCAAACAATGACTAACGTAGCGTTCCTAGAGTGTAAGGTTGACTATAAACCTAAAAATTCCCGAAATAAAACGTCTCCTATTAAAACCCTAGCAAAGGTAATTCCCGATGCACATGAGTAAATTTCGCTGAAAATTAAGTAAATAAATTTTTAATACAATAAACTATCGATAAATTTTACATATGCAGTCCTGTCGTACTTTCCAGCACTGCCAATTTATGTACAAACCCGTTTAAGAAAATTTTGAATCAATCCTTTTGCGCGTTTCATGAGAAAGTAAAATTCCTATGTAATTAACATTTAGTACTCCAAGTTTCAAGCTTTAGCCTTTCCTGAAAATACAAAAAATCAATGAAAAGCTAAAGATAATCACCGGGTTGCTAACGAGGATAAATATTCACATCGGAATCTTATTAGAAGAGTATTCTAATTAGATCTATCCTCAGTAATATTTACACATGATAGTCACACCTAAACTCTTCCATTACAGTACAAGGCACGTACCTCCGTAACGTCTCGGCACCAAACAATAACTAACGTAGCGTTCCTATAGAGTGCGGACGTTAAAAGTAAGGCTGTCTCTAAACCTAAAAATTCCCGAAATAAAACGTCTCCTATTAAAACCCTAGCAAAGTTAATTCCCGATGCACACGAGTAAATTTTGCTGGAAATTAAGTCAATAAATTTTTAATACAATAAACTGTCGATGAATTTTACACATGCAGTCCTGTCGTACTTTCCAGCACTGCCAATTTATGTACAAACCGGTTTAAGAAAATTTTGAACTAAGTCGTGGCTCACATAAACTTGGCTCATTTCACTGCATTAGTTCATGCGCTCTGGAAATTGGGCACTTGGCGACGATCAACCGTCTCTCGAACAGATAAGTGAAGTCTTTGGTTTCGTTTTTTTCAACAAACGTTCAATGATCGTTTATACTTTAAACCAGAGCGTGAACTTTGAGTGCGGTTTTGAAATTTATTAAATTTGGTGGTCGCGTTGTTATTTTCAACTTTCGCGTCGTTTGGTTCTCATTTTCAATTAAAGAACGTATAGTTGTTAACTTGCTTAAATTAAATTGTAATCATCGAGCTTTCTTTTATAATTGAGCATTTGATTTAAATGTTTTCTCAGAATCGTGAATAATAACGTAGATAGAATCTCAATTTTGCACGGGGCCAGAGCCCCAAGCCCATCCATTTAACGCGGTCGCTATTCACGCACACCTCTGAGAGGCATAACTTTCTGCAATTTGATCATATAGCTATCAGTACGTTGAAAATCTATTAGTAAGTAAAATTTTCACGAACACTGTAAATATTTTTTCTATTTTGTATCTAATTTGTATGTATTCATCATTAGACTTCAAATCGGACGGACAAGAGATGAAACAAGGTGGCAGCCAGCTACAATGTAAAAAAGTCGCCATGATAACAGACAATCTGACATGTTTTCCTTTCTGGGGAATAGACTAACACAAACAGCTGTCTTCATTTTCAGCGGATTTAATGAAATGGGAAAAATACTCCTGTGATGATAAATACTCAAGTGAAAAGCAGTTGATGACAACTACGAGCAGGTGTGTAATTTTGAATTAAATTCAACCCACTATACGATGAGGTTCTAATTATAATGACAAACCATGAACGTTCCCTCATCTCCCCTCCGCAGGGTATGGCGGTGGGCCTACAGCAGAATGTGGCCGACGTATGGTATCTGTTCTACGCCATCGCAGCTCACAAATACGTTATCGCTTTTTGTGTTGGACTCGAACTTGTTTCTGGGGGAACGAAGCTCGTCCTGACAGTAGTCTACATGATCACCTTTGCAATGGTCACACCTTTGGGAATTGCTCTTGGCATCGTCGTTACAGAGGGAATAGGTTCTTCCAACAGCTTGTTCCATCTCTGGACCTTGACCGTCTTGCAAGGGATGGCAGCTGGTACCATCCTATATGTAGTTTTTTGCGAGGTAAGCTATTTATTGAGAACCGATTGTTTTAAGAGGAAGATTTTATTGTCACCATTATTTTCCATCATGGAAATTTACAATTGGCGTAACATTTCTTGTGGAAGTGAAATAGGTGTGCGTTAGTTGAGGGAAAATATCCGACTCTCAGATGAGATCCATTTATTCTAACCAGATATTGAGATCATGCCACTTTGTCAACTGAAGGATTTAAATAATAATAAATTCACAACACGCATTCAACTTCGTTATAACCCCTAACAATCGTGGAACAGAAAGAAATGAATCTATTAAGAAAAATCATTTTTTTCGTGATGATGGCCTGCTAACTAAATTAATCATCATCTAACGACTTGTTCAAAAATGAATTTCATCTTCCTCGCAGGTTCTGGAACGAGAGAGAAACAGCCTGAGCGGCCGCTTTGGGAAACTAATAGCGTTGATCGTTGGTTTCGCGACCATGGCTCTCATCCAACTTGTGGGCAATCACAAACACGCCCATTAAGTGCACGAACAATATTATGGTTTCAAAACTATGGTGGTTATAATCTTTTTGCTACTAGGTCAGTAATTGTATTTGAACATTTGATTCATACCTTAAAAACGAGAATTAGTGAATGGTATCTGATCAAACGGAAGTGGAGGGCAAAGTCCATTCAAGTGAGCACTTCAATTCTACTCGTTTGAGAACAAATTATTCAATACAAGGTGCTTTGTTGAATTTTTCATCGGATTTGTTGATTCATCTAGGAAGAAAGAAAGAGTGTAACTTCACTTACGATTAAAATAAAAAAAAGAGGCATCGTTTGCTCATAAGTGAAATATTCCAATCCTTTTTTTTTAGCTTTCTTTCCAAGTCTGTTTTAATTTTATTTAGTCTTTAATTATCATTAAAATGCGTAGTCATAATACTTCCATAGTGGCTAGCCTGAAAGTGAATCATTATCTTATAAGAATCGCTAAATAATATTGCTTCTTATCCTTATACGATAAAAAAATAATTATGAAACGTTTTCAGTTTCAGCAACAAAGAAACATTCTCAGTTTAGGAAATCAAGGAACTAAGTAACTAAGAAAATTTATTGCTGACTTAAACACAAACAATTGTACAATAAAGCATTTATGTAAATAAGCAATCAAATCAATAAATTCTTGTGATTGTATTGAAAATCATTTGTTAAGGAACGATGGTCGACATTCGAAGGATTCTTTTGTTTCCAAGAACGATCCAAGAGCGAAGTGCTTCAACCAACAAGACTTTCAGTCTCAACAAAATTTTTTAGTAATTAATTGTGTTAAGACACGAGAGCGTCTTGTGAACACTATAGCTTTGGCAGTATTATTCATCTGAAACTCTATATCTATAGGGGATTATTATTATTATTCTACGAAGAGATTGTCGTGGCGTCTCGTTCAGATCGAACTTCGAGGGCACGTTACAAGTGGCTGAAAAGATGATAGTATTGTACATGTCAAACACTATATCTATAGGGGATGATAGTATTGTTCATGTCAAACACTATAGCTATAGGGGATGATAGTAATATTCATGTTAAACACTATATCTATAGCGTATGATAGTATTGTTCATGTCAAACACTATAGCTATAGGGGATGATATTTTTGAACATATCAAACACTATAATAATGGCTAATGATAGTATTGACCATATTGGAATGCATAAGGAGTTACGTGACAAGAATATTAGGCGAGGCAACTAACAAGAGTCGGACAGATGCGAAAATACTCACGCTGATCCGCGGGTTTCAAGGGAGACACGATTCCGCATACACTCGTATCGAAGATGCAGCCAAATTCATAAAGAAAAATCCAGCTTCGTTTTGAACTAACAGAGGATATGGACATTTAAAAGTTTTCAATGGAGATACGGTCAAATTTCCAGACACTCATTTTGCTTTCAAATTTTCGGGCCATTTGTGGCACCGACCGAACGCGTGCTACACATCAGGTACCAAAACAGCCTCTCATTTTTGACTGGGATAGAGAAAGCATTGAAGTTTAATAATAAATTATTATAACAAAGGCTGCGGAATCTTCCACAGTTGCGTGCTGTGAATACTCATGGGCGGGCATTTGTTTGCATGGGCAGTACAGCTTCTCTATGACTGATCTCAACTCTCTCCTAATTCGTGGCTCGTCGAACATGTACATTAAAAGCTTCTTAACTCAGATGCCGAGACACTTGTAATTCTACATAATAGGTCAGTATAATTTGAAATATTTTTTATAAATTGATCCCCCAAATATCGTATACACAAAATAAATCGGAATTATTCTGATTAAGTCATTGAATGTTTGTTTTCATAGTTAAATTGTTTCAATTAAATAGTTAAAAGCCATTCCTATTTATGTGAGGATTGAAAGTGAATAAATAATGAAGTCATAGTTGCGCACGAATGAATTAGTCTCCTAGACTTGAGACAGAATTTAGGTAAATTTTAACAATATACATGAAGCAAAAATTATAATTCCGTTTTTGAGCAAAGCTCGGAAAGGATTCTTCGGTAACAATTGATATGCCAGCTTCTGGGAAATGTGATATTGAATGTTTTAATGTTTGTTCCTCGAAGTTTGTTGCATACGGCCAGAGATCGTGTGAGCTGCATGTTTGATTTAATCGTTGTCGTCAGTTTTTGCATTCTGCCTTTGGCCTTCAACTCTGCCCACAGGCCGCTTTATCACACAAATTATAAATCTCAGATATTCCTGATAACTGGTCGAATATCAAGGTTATTAATAATATTAATTAGTACCAAGGTTATTAATAATATTAATTAGTACCAAGGTTATTAATAATATTTCGCAATGCCTAGAAACCGTGTTTGGAATGTTATAGCTGACAGGTTCACGGGGGGTCTGTCAACAAGCCCAATAACAAGACATTGAGGTGCACAACTTGATCGGCGTATACGATATACGATATACAACTTGTATCGGTATTCAGGCAGCGACTTTATTACTTATAATCAATACATTCCTCTGAACTGAAGCGATTCTTGACAAACAAATAATGATTTTTTGATACGTATATTTACCCAGCTATTACACTACAATATTTATATATTATTTCCATTGTCTATTGGCTTCACGTTGATTTTAGACTCATATAATACATGAATATTATACCGATTCTTCGAATGACTTCGTCGGGTTAACACACCATGAACTAATACTATGATTATTGTTGTACGCCACTCACTACCGGGGAGAGATCACCTGGAAGCATAAATTATTGGCAAAAGTCACTTCAAATTCTTAGCTACACCGATCATACCTAGAAGTACCTGATATTAATTAATCAACTTACTGGCTAGGCTGAGCGATGGTGAATGTTAATTTTATAGACTCTTACTCTATTCTTAACGACCAGCTGTGGATACATGAGTAACTTACTCTATTGGGAGCGCAGCCGTGCACCACCAATTTTGTCCACCAATAAGCCCTGATCGAACGCTTTGGATCTCTCCGGGCCTACACCAATCAGCCGTGCACCACTCGCCTTTGTCCTCTTCCGGCCTTGACCACCACCTGCCGTGCACCACCAGGCCGCGGATCGAATCTGACTTCCGGGCATCGTTAAATTACGTAATTTTACGTTCACCGCATCTGAGGTTAGGTTTCAGATAGCATAGTTCTGTTCCAAAATATATCGTCCTTCGACAAGTGGCCGTTCGACCGAGGGCTGGTTCGACTCACGGCCCAGATACGGACGGCTTGAAGTGTTGAAGGCTACGTTCCGGAAGGCAGGAATCACGATGGTCCATTACATCCAGGGCAGTGGTGGTTGATGGTGAATGTTAATTTAATAGACTCTTACTCTATTCTTAACGACCAGCTGTGGATACTGAGTAACTTACTCTATTTCACATGAACATTCAGTTTTCATTCACTAGGATCAAATGCAGATGATAAGCATTGGTAGTTGTGCTTTCAGAAATTTAGCTAAAAGATTAATTAACACTAATTAGAAACCGGATTTAAAATGTATATAATATAATGATATATACATGTCATACACATATGCATATACTAAAATTAGGCATCTTATTATCAATTAAGAAGAGTTGATTGGAGTATTTTCTTTGAACTCTATTTTTAATGAGCGTATCAGAAACACAGGAAATTCATAAGTAAATATTAGAGCAATTATCTAAGGTAAGTTTGACTAATTGTGTCAATGCCCAGGCTGCTTTAGTCGAAACGGTGAATTAATAACAGCGGATATGAATAAATGAATCTCTACTCATATACAATTTTATATCCATCGTTCCAATAACGCTCTTGAATCGAATATTGATTAAAATATCGTGAAAATTTTAATAATTTGGAGTTTTTATTGTTCATATTGAATTACTTCATTCAAATAAAAATGTTTGGCCAGAAATATCCAGCTTGTTCATTTAAATAATCCTTAATAGCGATCTCGTTGAGAAAGCAGCATTTCCGACTAATTACAGTGTAGGGCATTTCCTGTAGAGCAAACGGTCACTTCTGAGAAGTCAGCGTCGTATGTGTAGTAATTATTGAGACTGACGGCATGAAGCTTTATGTTCCATATGCCTTAACGCATCAGTTAAATATACATCCCTCAGGATATGGGTTCTCTATTCATATCGACGTTTCGTAAGAAATATTAAAATTTTTATATGTTTCGTCGATAAAGTTTTATTTTTCAAATTTGGGCTTTTCCTATTTATTCAAGTTTTTACCATGTACTTAATTACAAATATTGAGCATTTTTATTAATGTTCAGAATTCTTTCGATGTTAAATGTTTGTTTCTAACTGATTTCTTAATCAATGTAAACTTTTTTGAGATATTTTCAATATGCTAGCTTTGCAGTTTAACATCAAAATACTGAGCTTTTTGGGCTAATTATAATAATTGAAGTGAATTAGAATGCACTTATATTTCTTTATCTCAAGCTGATATATTAGGTTTGAAAGCTTGATAAAACTTTATTAATTAATTATACTTACTATGAATAGCAAGATATAAATTCCTATATTATACCTACGTTCTCAGCACTTATGTTCTATCGTCAAAACCATTAAAGCCGATTTATATAGAAAACAGTTCGTGTTTGCTTCTCGTTGCGCTTTTTACATCGAATGAATTCTATTGAGCTACTTCTACCTCTGTGTCTGTTATTCGTTAATATTTCAGATTTGTTACACATTTTTCCTAGATTTTTATCTACAATCTCACGAGTTGCTTTCGTGAGTCGATGTCAGAGCCATCGACAGAAATAAAACTCAAGATTAGAGCTTCTTTGACCTGTTGTTAATTCTAGACGTAGAAGAATTTTTACATTTCTCTGGTGATTTCAACACCGCAACGCCTTGCTGCATCTCGGTATTCATATGCATCCAGTCACTAATTTTGCCTAAAATTCTCACAGCGAGCTGTGCGTTTTTGTACTCGTAACTCGCTGCTTAAATTTTGATGATCTCGACAAACATGCCACTCCGAGCTCAAAAATCTCTTTTAACAAAAATTAGTTGTATAAACAATATTCTTCATTGAATGAAATAGATTATTTAAGAAAATTTTCCAGCATTCTAATAATTTACATTTATGTAAATAACCCTGATTTTTATCAAGAAATGGCGCTCCATAAAGCTAAATGGAATATTAATTTGAGTATTTATGATGATAATTTGACCGATACCTTTTCTTTCGAAGACTACCCTTTTAAAATTTATTTTACTACTCATTTACGTTGTGCTCTCAACTCGACGTATCAATTTTGTACGTCCATCTAACCTACGTTTCATCTCGCACAAAAAAAAATTATCCCTATCGATTTCTTCCTTTTTTGTTCGACTCAATGAAAATATCTTCTCTAAATTAGGGAGAAAATCTGTAACCTCGTCAAAGAGAACAATGGATATTTTTTCCTCAAATCCCTAACTTGACCTTAATAAGATTTAAGAGAGAAAGTGAGCAAAGATTTTTTCTCGACATTTGATTTTTTGTTGTGTTATTATTTCACGCGAGTAAGACTATTTTAGCATGCGAAAATTTGCTTGAAAATCAACAAAAAAAGTTCAAATGACAAATCATGATTTGAGCAGGTTTCTATAATTATTTGCAAATGATTGATATGTTTGCACTTTTTATTTAAATTAAAACGAATCTTGGTCATATTTTCCGTGAAAATTTATGATATTTTAATTAGCTGGCAGAAAGATTCTTCGGCGTTAAAATTTAATCTGCAATCATTTACCACATCAGAGGACGTCTTACCATTCTCCTGAATTTAAGTTGAAATACTAATGTTATGTTATAATTATAAGCATGTTGGTATAACACAAGCGAGATGATTTTATAATATATAA